GAAAGTCATATGTCCAAAGAGAATATGCAACAGCATGTGATGCAGCCTTCTGAACATTATTTTGACATCCCTAATAAAAGTCAGGACATACTTCAAAGTATACATCAAGAACTATTACTTATAAGCCCAGAGCAAACCAAATGGAAAATAATATCCTCAGCAATTTAATTTGGATTACATTCATCCATGTTTACTTCCTTCTGTACACTTAGACACACTAATGCTAAAAAAAATTAATGTTGGCAAGAGGAGCTATGCTAAAAACTTTTCCTAAGACACGATTCCCTCTTATCTTTTGGAATGCATAATCTGTAAATTTTACTGACAGTGTAAATCAATCAAAAGTGCTTAGAATGCCAAATGAGTGTATGCTTCATAGTTAAGTGGACAATAATGGAAAAGATGAAAAACATTACTGCACCCCTGGTATTGCTGAGAACACTTATATAATTACACAGCTCATCAGCCCCTGCCAACTAAAAGGGCAACAGCCAGGTGGAGCATCTTGATTTGCCACATCGTTCTTTATCAGGAATGTTCAAAAATATGTTATTAAATTTGAAAGAGATAAGAGTCAAAGATCAGCTCTTAAGCCTCCTAGGAAAATGTATTTTCTTTTTCTCCTGTCAGCCTTGTTTTGGGAGCAATAATTTCAGTCAGAAAATATGAATACTTTTTTATGAAGGCTGCCACTGCTCAGGGGTAAACCCAACTATAATCTTTTTTGACATTTGCAATAATTTTGAGTCTTTCCTGTGTGAAATTGTTTTAATAAATCCAACTCATAAACAATTGTATAACCAGTGGCACACCCAAAAAGGTACAAGCTCTCTTCACAGAGAGAGAATAATTCATAAGAACTTTCAAAGTTAAATGAAAAAATAAAATAAAACAAAGCAAACAAAATTCTTCTTTATCAGTATCTGTCATTTATCAAGAGCTAGGAAGGATAAAGTTATACTCTCAATAAACAGTCAGCTATAGATTTTATTTAAGTATAATTTTAGTGCAGTTCTAGAGTAAACTATCAATTTTTCTTCATTAGAGTCACTAGAAAATGCCCTGTTGTGGTTCTGACTGGATGTCTTCTGCCTGTACTCATTTGGTTACAGGTTGGTCCTTTTCTTGTTCTTTGGCTTCTCATTATCCATGCCAGATTGTTTCTTTCCATATAGAAGAGCTGCTATGCACCGTGCAAGAAAAACTGTCTCTGAAAATGTCCAGTACACATATTTACAATATAATACAATTTCTCAAACAAATATGTTTACATCAGTAGCCGTGTGGGTTGTACCTTCTATTGAACAAATGGTTGTTAGAGAAGCATTGTGTGGCATCCCTGTCTTCACTTCACAAGAAGCCACACATCTTCTAAAAAATGCCACTCTTTTTGTTCCTTAGTTCTACCATGGATTTTATCAAGCACTTTAGGTTAGCAGAATAGTGGAAGAAAAAGGAAAACAAAATTGTTACTGAACACTTATGTGGCAGACTAGTCACATCATATATAGACCATACTTTTTCTCATTTAATTAGAAGAATAACTCTCTGAGGTGGGTATTTTTATCTTTAAGTTAAAACTAAAGATATCAAGCTAGACTTCAGGAGGTAAAGATCCTTTCCCAGGTAATATCCAGGTTGTTGATGGAGCCAAAATGGGAATAATCTCTGAGCCTCAGCCTGTTTATTTTTACAATATCTAGACTCCATGGAACCTAAAAAACATGCCTGGCATTAGAAATAAGCCCTTTACTCTGTGGTTATTCTTGGCTTCATACTATCAAATTTACTCCTACTTCCTTATCCTGCCTCACCTTATAGAAGCAGTTGAAGTAAAAATAATCACTTGTGGCTCCTCTGGAAGTTTTTCGTTCAACAATTCTATTACCCCTACAGAACTATCTTATAAAGAAAGGACTTAGCATTGTCCATGCCAAGGCAAGGGGACTTACAACTGGTGTTCCTCAAGACATGTTTTTGTATTAATGTTTAATATGGTCTTTAGAAACTTGAAGATAAGAATGGAAGTCATACTTGTTCATTTTGCCATCTTCAGCCTTGCATGCAAATTTACACACAAGAAAAATAGAGAGCACTGGCTAGCATCCTTACAAATTAAAGAAAATGTGAAGATTCAACTCAATAAACTAAAAAGAGAAACAGAATTAAATTTAATAAAGAATGTCTGCCCTCACCACTCTTATTCGGCACACTGCTGGTAAATTCTAGACACTCAATAATGCAAGAAAAAGGAAATCAAAGTAAATAACCTGGAAAAGAAGAAATAAAAGTCCCTATTTGCTGATGATATAATAATGATCAACGTAGAAGACCTCGAGGGACTCACAAAACACTGTTCAGAATTAAATGAATTCAGCAGGGTTTCAGGATTCAAGATAAACCTAGAAAAAACATTATATTTCTATATACTAACAATAAACACATGGACACTAAAATTTTAAATGCAATGCTATATATAATCATTCAAAAAATTAAATACTTAGGTATAAATTTAACATAACACATTCAGGACTTGTATGCCAAAAACTAAAAACCAATGTCAAAAATAAACAAATAAAGAAAAGATGATCTAAACAAATGCAAAAACCAACATGTTCATGATTTGGTAGACTCGACAAAGCAAAGGTTTCTGTTCTCCCCAGATTGATAAAAAGGGTTAATGCAATTTCTATCAAAATCCCAGCAAGGGCCAGACAGGTGGTTCATGCCTGTAATCCCAGCACTTTGGGGGAGTCAAGGCAGGTGAATCACTTGAACCCAGGAGGCAGAGGTTGCCGTGAGCTGAGATCACATGACTGTATTATTGCCTGGGCAATAGAGTGAGACTCTGTCTCAAAAAAAAAAAAAAATCCAACCAAGGTTCATTTTAGGTATATACATTTAAAGACGAAAGGACTAGAATAGCTAAAACAAATTTCAAGAAGAATGAAGAAATCAATTAACCCAATTTTAAGAGTGATTATATAGCTGTAGTAATCAAGACTGTAGTATTGGCAGAGGAATGGACACACACATTACAGGAATAGAATGGAGAACCCATATGTAGCTGCCTACACACATGCTGAAATTCTTTTTGTCAAAGATGTAAGAGTAATTAAATGGAGAAAGGATAACCTTTTCAATAAATATGCTGAAACAACTGGACATCCAAAGGCAAGAAGAAATGAAAAGAAAAGAAAAAAATAGAGAGAGAGGGAGAGAAAGAAAGAAAGAAAAAAGGAGGAAGAAAGGACAGTGAGAGAGAGAAATGAAGGAAGAAGGAGGGAAGGAAAGAGAAAGAAAGAGTAACAAAGGGAGAGGGAGGGAAGAAGGGAGGGAGGGGAAGGAGGAAGGAAGGAAGGAGAAGAAAGAAAGAAAGGTAGAGAGGGAGGGAGGGAAGAAAGGAGAGAAAGAAACAAGGAAAGTAAGAAGAAAAAAGAAAGAAAGGAGAGAGAGAGGAAGGAAGGAGAGAGGGAGGGAGGGAGAGAGAGAGAAAGAAAGAGAGAAAAATAAAGAAAGGAAAGAAAGAGAGGGAGGTAGGGAAGGAAGGAAGACGGAGAGAAAGAAAAGAAAGAAAGAGAAGGAAGGAAGGAAGGAAGGAAGGAAGGAAGGAAGGCAGCAAAAAAGAAAGAAGAAAGGAATGAGAGAGAGAAAGAGAAAGAAAGAGAGAAAGAATGGAGGGAGAGAGGAGGAAGGGAGCAAAGAAAAAGTGAGGCAGGGAGAGAGGGAGGGAGGGAGAAAAGTGAGGGAGAGAGGCAGGCCAAACCAAGTGTCATAACTTAACAGTATACAAATTAACTCAAAATGGATCTTGGAAATAAATGTGAAATGTAGAAACTATAAATATTTTAGAAAAAAAATAGGCAAAAATATTTGAGACTGAAAGCTAGACTTGACAGCAAAATCACAAGTCACAAAAGAAAAAAATTGATAAACTGGCCTTTGTTGAACTGTAAAACATTTGTTCTATGAAATGTTATGAACAGCTTAAAGGGGAAATTCAACAGTTCTTTATGTTAAAAACTCTAAATAAACTAGGTATCTATGTAACATATCTCAAAATAATAAAAGCTATTTATGAAAAATCCACAGCCAATATTATACTGAATGGGCAAAAACTGGCAGCATTCCCTTTGAAAACTGGCACTAGACAAGGATGCCCTCTCTTACCACTCCTATTTAACATAGTATTGGAAGTTCTGTCCAGGGAAGGCAAGAAAAAGAAATAAAACGTATTCAATTAGGAAAAGAGGAAATCAAATTGTCTCTTTTTTGCAGATGACATGATTGTATGTTTAGAAAACCCCATTTCCTCAGCCCAAAATCTCCTTAAGCTGATAAGCAACTTCAGCAAAGTCTTGGGATACAAAATCAATGTGCAGAAATCACAAGCATTCCTATACACCAATAACAGACAAACAGAGAGCCAAATAATGATTGAAATCGCATTCACAGTTACCATAAAGAGAATAAAATACCTAGAAATACAACTAACAAGGAATGTGAAGGACCTCTTCAAGGAGAACTACAAACCTTCAAGGAAATAAGAGAGGACACAAACAGATGGAAAAACATTCCATGCTCATAGATAGGAAGAAACAATATCATGAAAATGGTCATACTGCCTAAAGTAATTTATAGATTCAATGTTATTCCCATTAAGCTACCTTGCCTTTCTTCACAGAGTTGGAAAAAAACACCTTAAACCTCATATAGAACCAAAAGAGAACCTGCATAGCCAAGACAATTCTAAGCAAAACAAAACAAAACACAAAACAACAAAGTGGAGGGCATCATGCTACCTGACTTTAAACTATACCACAAGTCTACAGTAATCAAAACAGCATAGTACTGGTACCAAAACAGAGATAATAGACCAATGGAACAGAACACAGGCCTCAGAAGTAATGCCACACAACTACAAGCATCTGATCTTTGACAAACCTGACAAAAAGCAAGCAATGGGGAAAGGATTCCCTGTTTAATAAATGGTGTTGGGACAGCAACTGCGCATCCCAGGGTTATGGATCTCCTCACGTTTGCTGCGTTGCCTGAGTCGGTCAGCACCCGAGGACCTAAGCAGCCATGTCGAAGCCCCATAGTGAAGCCGGAACTGCCTTCATTCAGACGCAGCAGCTGCATGCAGCCATGGCTGACACATTCCTGGAGCACATGTGCCGCCTGGACATTGACTCACCACCCATCACAGCCCGGAACACTGGCATCATCTGTACCATTGGCCCAGCTTCCCGATCGGTGGAGACGTTGAAGGAGATGATTAAGTCTGGAATGAATGTGGCTCGTCTGAACTTCTCTCATGGAACTCATGAGTACCATGCGGAGACCATCAAGAATGTGCGTGCAGCCACGGAAAGCTTTGCTTCTGACCCCATCCTCTACCGGCCCGTTGCTGTGGCTCTGGACACTAAAGGACCTGAGATCCGAACTGGCCTCATCAAGGGCAGCGGCACCGCAGAGGTAGAGCTGAAGAAGGGAGCCACTCTCAAAATCACGCTGGATAACGCCTACATGGAGAAGTGTGACGAGAACATCCTGTGGCTGGACTACAAGAACATCTGCAAGGTGGTGGAAGTGGGCAGCAAGATCTACGTGGATGATGAGCTTATTTCTCTCCAGGTGAAGCAGAAAGGTGCTGACTTCCTGGTGACAGAGGTGGAAAATGGTGGCTCCTTGGGCAGCAAGAAGGGTGTGAACCTTCCTGGGGCTGCTGTGGACTTGCCTGCTGTGTCAGAGAAGGACATCCAGGACCTGAAGTTTGGGGTTGAGCAGGATGTTGATATGGTGTTTGCGTCATTCATCCGCAAGGCAGCCGATGTCCATGAAGTGAGGAAGGTCCTGGGAGAGAAGGGGAAGAACATCAAGATAATCAGCAAAATCGAGAATCATGAGGGGGTTCGGAGGTTTGATGAAATCCTGGAGGCCAGTGATGGGATCATGGTGGCTCGTGGTGATCTAGGCATTGAAATTCCTGCAGAGAAGGTCTTCCTTGCTCAGAAGATGATGATTGGGCAGTGCAACCGAGCTGGGAAGCCTGTCATCTGTGCCACTCAGATGCTGGAAAGCATGATCAAGAAGCCCCGCCCCACCCGGGCTGAGGGCAGTGATGTGGCCAATGCAGTCCTGGATGGAGCTGACTGTATCATGCTGTCTGGAGAGACAGCCAAAGGGGACTATCCTCTAGAGGCCGTGCGCATGCAGCACCTGATTGCCCGTGAGGCAGAGGCCGCCATCTACCACTTGCAATTATTTGAGGAACTCCGCCACCTGGCGCCCATTACCAGCGACCCCACAGAAGCCACCGCCGTGGGCGCCGTGGAGGCCTCCTTCAAGTGCTGCAGTGGGGCCATAATCGTCCTCACCAAGTCTGGCAGATCTGCTCACCAGGTGGCCAGATACCGCCCACGTGCCCCCATCATTGCTGTGACACGGAATGCCCAGACAGCTCGTCAGGCTCACCTGTACCGTGGTATCTTCCCTGTGCTGTGTAAGGACCCCATCCAGGAGGCCTGGGCTGAGGATGTGGACCTCCGGGTGAACTTGGCCATGAATGTTGGCAAGGCCCGAGGCTTCTTCAAGAAGGGAGATGTGGTCATTGTGCTGACTGGGTGGCGCCCTGGCTCCGGCTTCACCAACACCATGCGTGTTGTTCCTGTGCCGTGATAGGCCCCAGAGCCCCTCTTCCAGCCCCTGTCCCACCCTCTTCCCCCAACCCATCCATTAGGCCAGCAACGCTTGTAGAGCTCACTCTGGGCTGTAATGTGGCACTGGTGGGCTGGGACACCAGAGAAGAAGATAAAACGCCTCCATGAAACATGGCTGTGTTTACTCCCTGCTCTGGTGGGACAGCCCAGAGCCTGGCTGCCCATCATGTGGCCCCACCCAGTCAAGGGAAGAAGGAGGAATGCCAGACTGGAGGCCCTAGGAGCCAGATGGCAAGAGGATGCCAGCTTCCTTTCCTGTGTGTACTCCGTTCATTTCCTTTAGAAAATGGATGCTCAGAGGACTCCCAACCCTGGTCTGGGTGCAGGAAACAGCCAGCGAGAGTTAGGGGCCTTAGCGCACAGAGCAGTTGTTCCATTTAAGCCAACTCTGGCCCTGACCCTTGCTTCCCCAACCCCCTTGGCCTCCCCAGTTCACACCTGTCACCACCCTCCACTCAGCTGTCCTGTGACAAACACTCCACCTTCCATTTTCCCCCACTACTGCAGCGCCTCCAGGCCTGTTGCTATAGAGCCTACCTGTATGTCAATAAACAACAGCTGAAAAAAATAAATAAATAAATAAATGGTGTTGGGAAAACTGGCTAGCCATATGCAGAAAGCTAAAACTGGATCCCTGCCTTACACCTTATATAAAAGTTAACTTAAGATGGATTACAGATTTAAATATAAGACCTAACACCATAAAAACCCCAGAAGAAAACCTAGGCAATACCATTCAGAACATAGGCATGGGCAAGTACTTCATGACTAAAACACCAATAGCAATGGTAACAAAAGCCAAAATAGACAAATGGGATCTAATTAAACTTCAGAGCTTCTACACAGCAAAAGAAACTATTATAAAAGTGAACCAGCCACCAACAGAATGGAAAAAAAATTTTGCAAACTACCCATTTGACAAAGGGCTAATAACTAGAAACTACAAATAACTTAAAGAAATCTACAAGAAAAAACCAACCCCATCACAGTGGGTGAAGGATATGCACAGACCATTCTCAAAAGAAGACATTTATGCAGCGAACAAACAAATGAAGAAATGCTCATTATCACTGGTCATTAGAGAAATGCAAATCAAAACCACATTGAGATACCATCTCATGCCAGTTAGAATGGCGATCATTAAAAAATCAGGAGACAACAGATGCTGGAGAGGATGTGGAGAAATAGGAACACTTTTACACTGTTGGTGGAATGTAAATTAGTTCAACCATTGTGGAAGACAGTGTGGCAATTCCTCAAGAATCTAGAACTAGAAATATCATTTGATCCAGCAATCCCATTACTGGATATATACCCAAAGGATTATAAAACATTCTATTGTAAAGACACATGTACACGTGTGTTTACTGCAGCACTGTTTACAATAGCAAAGACTTGGAACCAACCCAAATGCCTGACGATGATAGACTGGATAACGAAAATGTGGCTCATATACACCATGGAATTCTATGTAGCCATAAAAATGGATGCATTCATATTCTTCGCAGGGACATGGATGAATCTGGAAACCATCATTCTCAGCTAAGTGACACAAGAACAGAAAACTACACCTTGTATGTTCTCACTCATAAGTGGATATTGAACAATGAGAACACATGGACACAGGGAGGGTAACATCACACACCAGGGCCTGTAGGGGGTTGGGGGAGAGGGGAAGGATAGCAGGGGGTGAGGGGATTGGGGAGGGATAACATTAGGAGAAATACTTGATGTAGACGATGGGGGGAATGGATGCAGCAAACCACCGTGGTACGTGTATAGCTATGCGGCAAACATGCATGATCTGCACATGTATGCCAGAACTTAGTGTATAATCAAAAATAAAATAAACTGTGCACTAAAAAATGAAAGAAAAGCTAAGCTAGAGTGGGAGAAAGTATTTGCAAACCACATACTTACAAAAAAGGCTACTATTGAGAATATATATATTTTTTAAAACTCTCAAAACTCAACAGCTAAAAAGCAAACAATTTAATTAGAAAATTTGCAAAAGACATGAACAGAGTCTTCACCAAAAAAGATTCACAAATGGCAAACAAGCACATAAAAAGATGTTAAATAATTTACTGAATATTTCAAAATAACTAGAAGAGTGGAATTAGATGTTCCTAAAACAAAGAAAAGATAAATGTTTAAGGTGATGGCTATTCCAGTTAACCTGATTTGAACAACACAGGGTACATTCATATCAAAATACCACATGTACCCCATATAAGTATAACTATTATGTATTCACAAAAACTAGAAATTAAAACATTTTTTAAAAATATGTTACATTTGATTATCCATTAGGAAAATGCAAATTAATGTCACAATGAGATAGCATTGTATACCTAGCAAAATGGCAAAAATTTAGACATAATAACACAAAATGCTGGCGAGTATGTGGAGAAACTAGATCACTTACCCATTGCTATTAGAAATGTAAAGTGGTACAGCCACACTGATAGTTTCTCCGTTTCTTTAGAAAGATTTTAAGAACTAAATATGCAACTACTCACCAACCCAACAATTGTACTTCTGATCATTTATCTCAGAAAAGTGAAATTTTCCATAAAAAGTCTATATACACATGTCCCTGGCAGTTTTATTTGTAATAGCTAACAACTAGAAATGGCCCCAAATTCTTTCAACAGATAAATGATTAATCAACCATGATACTTGATACCATGGAATAGTACTCAGTAATAAAAAAATAAACTTTTGATACAGCCAAGAACATGAATGAATCTTCAGAGAATTATGCTGTGGGAAAATTGAATTCCAAAAAGTTACATACCGTAAAAGTCCATTTATGTAGCATTCTTGAGAGGACAAAATTATAGAGTTGGAGAAAAGATTAGTGGTCATCAAGAATTAAGGATCTTTTTGGTGAAAGAAATGTTTTGTATCTTTTCTCTTTTCTTTTCTTTCTTTTTTTAATTTTAATTTTTATTTTTGAGACAGGGTTTTGCCCTGTCACCCAGTCTGGAGTGCAGTAGTGAGATCCATCATGGCTCACTGCAGCCTCAACCCAGGTTCATAAAATTCTCTTGTCTCAGCCTCCCAAAATGTTAAAATTACAGGCATAAGCCACTGCACCCAACCTGTTTTGTATCTTGACTGTATCAATGTCAGTATCTTGTTTGTGATATTATACTCTAGTTTTCCAAAATATTATCATTATGGGGATGTAAATAAAGAGTACATGGGATTCCTGTGTATTATTTCCTACAACTGCATGTGAATCTATTATTATCTCACACACACAAAATTTTTAAGAAAAGATATTTAAAGATTGAAGTAAACAGTATACTAGAAGGGTCACCAGTTAAAGTCAGTAAAATCAAGTATAAATTGATCTTCAAAAAGAACAATTGGACCAGAGAAATTTAAAATTATTTTTTGAATTATTTTAATTTATAAGAAACAATATAAAAACATCATTCACTCTTGTACCTGCTTGTAAATACTTCATTTATTTATTCAGTGGAGTCTTATTAGATATTAACTAAGAATTTTGAGGGCATTATCCTTCCCATGACACTTACAATTGTGTAGAACATTGAGAATGCAGTTTCTCCTGGACTTTCAACATCGACTTAAAATGTTTCTATGATGATATTTTATTATATAAAAACATGAAATTAAGGATCATATCTTTAGAGTTACTGTACTTATCCAACAACAAAGTACGTGCTGAAATCTGTGGCAGTGCCTGGCTATAACTGCCTTGCTTATCCGAATGATCTGAAATGTGCCTGTGCAAACATAAATACACAAAATGTTCAAAAATCAAAACACTAATGTGACATTATCAGAAGTAATAGGCAGACTCTTTGGGGCCCATAGATCATGTGGGGAAAAGTCTAAAGAGTTTATTTGCAAATTAAAAATGAAAACCTAATAAAGTGATAACCACAAAACCTTGCAGATTAAAAAGGAATCATCTAATGATGGAAATAGATATATAATACAGAATGTATTTCTCTAGTCCAGCTCAGAAAGAGCTGCTATTGGTGACAGGAAAGAATGGGAGGAATATCTCAACCAAAAGCAAACCAAAAATAGAATTTTAAAACTGAAAAATACATCAAAAGAGACAGGATAAAATGAACTGAGCCACCTGGGCTGAAATAAGAGATCCTGAATAAGTAAGGAACATTTAGTAAGTGTGCAATTTTTCTGAGAGCAGATTCTATATTTACACAGATACATAAGAAAATCAGATTTTACTAACAACACAAGAATAATGGTTATGACCTGTCACTAAATATGGCTGAAAAATTCCCTCCTTGATGTCATTAAATACAGAAAGTAAAAATTTTAATCTGCTTGAGATTTATTTATATTAGTCAACATTAAAATTGACAGATGGTTTAAATAAAGAGAATTTAATTAAAAAATAATTACAAAGTTAAGGGAGACTTAAGGAAACTTATAAATGATTTAGAGGCATCTAGAAACTAGCAACAATGAAGAATCAGTTACCCACTCCTGGGCTTGAAGGGACAGAGGAGAAAGAGAGCACATTGAGGCTTAATCTTGGAGAGGGATCACCCAGCAGAGCTACAGTCCTGCAGAGATGCAGTTACAACCAAAGATATCGGCTTGTATTCTCCCTTTCTCCTTCCATTTTCCTCAAATGTCCAGCTTTCTAGAAAGGGCACCCAGGGAATGTAGTCTATAGGCATCATTTGAGAAGTCAATAATTGTTGTGAAGGTAAAAGAAACAAAGGAAATAACCAAGACGTTATTTAACCAGAATAATGTGTAAAGGTATCAGTCAAATGGCAATAAACCTATTTCAAACTCTTCAAGATTCATAATCCTGGACCATCTTCACATCTACTTCCTAAGAAAAAAATGGGAAATTCATGGTAATCATAAAGTAGTGGTTTACAAAATTTGACACTGAAGTTAGATGTTTTACCTCTGTAAGAATAAAAAGATATTGCAATAGCCTTCTGTGATGCCTCTCACCAGGTCTCTGGATCACAGGAAGCAGATTTCCCAATCACCAGAGGT